CAAATCAAAACATGCTTATAAAATAGTACGGGCATTACCATAAATTTACTTACCTCACTCGCATAAAACCGAGCACTCAATCTCGATGCTAACTGACAGAACGATCGGGAACCTAATCAAAACACCTCAGAATTAATACCAGACTATCACAAATTCACACTGAACACTTCATTAGGATCATTCCTAATCACAATGCTATTTCTATCACTTTCCACATGATCGGACATCTCCAAATTCATTCTCATATCACAAACTAATCATTTAAATTCCCGTTAAATGTTGGCCCTCGGGGTGTGAACAGTAACCGGTGAACAGTACCCCAACGTGAACAGTAACTCCACTTTCACAAATTGGCCAAAACACTAGCTAATCTCACGGGATTTTCTCTCCAAAAATCACAACAAGCAATTAACACTCAATCACATAAATCCCACTTAAATTAGTGCTTAATCATGGTCCTAAAGCTACCGGAATTCCTCCCCAGTCAAATTCGGACACACAAGGCAGCAAACAAAATGGACAATTTCAGCCTAAAAAGGCTGTCACATACCAGAATTTACAAGCAAGGAACCAGACTGCAGGTTGGGGAAGAGGCCGGCGGTAAGCTGCAGGGAAAGCTCACGGGTTCTACCCAAAAATTGAAGGAACCAAGAGCAATTAACATAAACCCAAGCCAATTCAAGCAAGAACAAAGGAATTTAATGACTGTTCTTACCGAAAAATGCCCAGAATTTGCACCCACAACAAGAGCAGCCGGCGGACAAGGGCAGAAGAGCAGAGCAGATCCGGCTTTTCCAGCAGGGGAGGGAAGATTTCTGGGTTCTAGGAGTGTTCTAGAGCAAGAAAAGAAGGAGAAATCCAAGTTTTCTCACTAGTTTCTCAAGCATGGCTGGGTTCCCCTTTTTTTTTTTTTTTCTCGGGTTGCAGCGGGAAGACGAGCAGAAACGGGCTGGAGAAGAAAGAGGAAAAGGGAGAAAAGAAATAAGCCATCCTTATCCAAATTCTACTCTTTTAAGCCCCTTGACTTTTGAAATATTCACTATTAAGCCCCAACATAATATTTCCTCTCATAAAAGTCCTTAACTTAATGCTAAATATCACAAAATTTCGGGGTATTACATTGGTGGTGGTTGGCCAGAGATTGGAGGAGAAGCTTGCAGTGGAGAGGAAGAAAAAAGACAGAAAAAACAGAGGAAAATTGTGCAGAAATTGCATAATGGGGGGGACGGGCGAAACGAAGGGAAGAAGGCTCTGTGCAGACTTATCCAGACCGATCCCGGTCCGAAAAACTCTGTCAGTGGGACCCAGCGTCCAATCAATTCAGAGATTCCATTATCCAGACCGATCTCGGTCCGTATATTTTCATTAAAAATAATAATTCATTCCTAATTTTTGTCATTTAATCTTTATTTTTCACAAAGAATAATATATATACGGACCGAAATCGGTCCGAATATAAAAATGAAATTTCGTATTCTCTAATGGATATATACAGACCGAAGCCGGTCCGTATATATTTATTCAAATAATATTTTATTCATATTTTTTGGTATTTAATATTTATTTTTTTCAGAAATAATATTCGGACCGAAAACGGTCCGAATATTATTGGCGCGTCTATACTGTGGTTCCCGCCAGAAATATACGGACCGATAACGGTCCGAATATGTTCATTAGTATATTTTCTCCCACCTGAATATATTCAAACCGATATTGGTTCGAATAT